AGAGAAGAGTTTAATGATGAAGAAGAGAAAGAGAGAAGAGTTTAATGATGAAGAGAAGGAGAGAAGAGTTAAATGATGAAGAAGAGAAGAGTTTAATGATGAAGAAGAGAAAGTGAGGAGACAAACCTCAGATTCAACTCAAACACATCTGCAGTGCAGCAGTTTGTCCTCAGGGGGGAGCTAGAGGACAGCTCACACAAAACCCTTAAAGGAAAAGGTTCATCTTCTGAGGAGCAGGAACGTCCACTTCCTGTCCCCTGTCCTTTGCCCAGTGTTGTCTCTTACGTCTCACGTCCACGTCGTTCGTGTCTCTTGTAAAAACGGAATCCTCTTGGATCCTGATGAAACGTGAGACGAAGCTTCTGTCAAATCTTTTTAGTCTGAACACAAACCGAGACTTTTGTAAACGACGCCCACGTTCTCTTCTGATTGGTTCTTATCAGTCACGTGACTCGACCAGCGTGAACACAAAGCGTCGCTAACACAACAAATTAACAAAATGAACGCAGACACAAGACTCCGTCACTTTTTTATATCCGAGACTTTTAACTGTGACACATGAGATGAATCCTGATGAATAAATCAAGCGTCCCTCGTCGTCTTTGTCTTCGTTAGCTCTGACGACCTCGTTACGTCCTCTGATTCATTGTGAAGTTATCTGTGTCTCTTTCAGGACCTACTTGGACGACGTGCAGTTTCTTTTTCTGTCTCTGTGATCTGGTTTATTTTCTCTGACCTCCAGCGTCTGTCTTCCTCTGGTTGTGGAAAATGTCCTCAACAAATTAACTCTGCAAACACGCCGCCCCAAAACGCCCAAATTGAATAATTCGTCCCAATTAGCTGAACAAACACACGTTCGCGCATGTTAATGGGATTAACGAGCTGCACTGAAGCGTCTGTTGACGTTTGTGTCCTAAAAGCAACATCCTGTCCTGTAACGAGGCCGCGCTGATTAACTCCGAGCACAGACGCTCACGTCCAGCTGAAGTCCCGCCAAAAACAGCCCGGGTGGCGTTTGAAGTGGGAGCGAGCGTCCGACAGACCTGAACAACAACACGAGGTTTCCAGGCCACCACAGAAGAAGAAGCGGGAGACAAGAGGACGATGAATTCAGTTAATTGACCTGAAATAAAAACAGCTAAATTAGTTCAACAAGAAAAATGTCTCCGATCCAGAGGTTTGTCTCCAGAACTCAGCGTCTGAGAGTAAAGACGTTCAACGGCTGTAAATAAAGATGGACGACACCATCTCGTGCAAAAACACGCTGCACTTCCCAGAATCCTCAGAGGGACAGAGATTCCTGGATTCATGAGACACCCTCGATTGTTGTGTCTCAAAATATTACGTTTCATGGGAAATGATTCTGACTCACTGTCGCTGCGTCAGTGAGAAGTTTCTAATGAAGAACATGTCCTCTCCTCCGTCCATGTCCATCATCCAGGTGTTGGATGTTACAGAAGTGGACAGACCACAGCCTCTTCACTTTCCCGTCTTATTATTGTCCCCACCTTCTACCTCGCCCACGTCCATCAGGTCTGTCCTCCACACCGACGCCCTTCACGCTCCGTGGATCTTGTGGCTTGAGGCTTTTCCTCTCGGGGCCGCGGAGCGTTCTTGGACCGCCGAGGATCCACAGAGCCTCAGAACGGTAAACCTGGCAGAGGACGAGACCAGACTGTGGTCGGCCCCGAGCCTCGGAGACAGGAACTCACTCCACAGACGTGTCTGCAGGGGGCAGCAGAGGTCAACTGTAGAGTTCCACTGATCACTTTACGTCCAAATGTCTCATTGTCCATTTCAACAAAACTGTTCTGACCAAGACAACGACACAGGATTGACTCATGTGTCCACACTCAGGTATTGACTTGTGTCTCTGGAACTTTGACTCATTAAGACAACATGATGAAGACGCTGCAGTGATGAAGAGCGTCACTGAAATGCCTAATGACGTCACAGAGTGAAGTTGCAGGTTCTCACCTTCACATCTGAGACAACACTGACACCGTGAGGACGAACTGCGCAACTGCAGCAACTTCACAGACATCACAGCCCCTCAGAGGTCAAAGGTCAAACTTAGTCATCAACATGTACATTGATCAAATCAGTTTCATTCATAAAATACATTTTAATACACGAACATTCTGACACCAATGAAAAGTTTATAAAGAATTAATATTTGTCCTGTTGAGATAAAACCAGAGAAACACTAAGTTTAACAAACTGGTTAAGATGAAAACCAGTCCGTCACTCGGTCAAACATTTAATAAATTCTCACGTTTTCTATACAAACATGAAAAAGTATTAAATTGTTATTTTTGTTTTTTGACATTGATTCATTTTCTTTTGAAATAGTTTCAAACATTTACTCTGAAAGGTTTCGTCACTTCCAGCTCAGACGAGTCAAATGTTCCGTTTCTCAAACTGTGAAAAATAAGTTTTTATTAACTTTTGTGAATGAACTTTACTCTGATGATTAAATCTGAGGAAATGAAGATGAAAATAATGAGTCAGTGAAGCAGCTGCTCGTCTTCTATAACAGAAACTTTATTATTCCCCGCACACAGTGAAAAATGTGTTTTAGAAGAAGGTGTTCGGTCTCTTGGTGGTGAAACGGGGTTTGTGTTGGCGACGCAGGACCCGGTGAGGCAGCGGGAACTTAATCTTTGAGTCCTGCAGGGGGCGACAGAGACAATAGACGTTTATGTGACGTTATAAACACACAGTGATCAATTTCAACCGTTTTTAATCATGTCGCCAGTTTCAGAACCGCCAGGTTTGAAGATGGAAGCTGGAAATCTGGAAGAGGAATCTGGCTTTTAGTTTGGCGGGTTTTTAAACCGGAGCCGACTCAAAGCTGAAGCAGTCCAGAGAGAGACCCGCCCACACTCGTTTCAACACACCACCCGGTGACGACACTTACGTGGAACTGCTTGATGGCAGGTCTGCGACACTTGTTGGCAGCGATGACCTGAACCTTCATTATCTGGATGGAGTGGGCACGAGCACGATGGCGAGCTCCCATATCACGATCTGAAAGACAAACGCGCTCTTTAATAACTGCTCTTAGAGTGAACTTGATTTACAAACAGGATCAGAACTCGTTTAATCGATTTCACGTCATCTGAGTTCAGAAAAACATAATTTGACTGTTTTCATGAACAAATCACCGGAGATCAGTTACAGTCACACTTCAGATCTTCCATCGATGTGTCCTCAGAGACTCTTTGACACATGAACGAGTGGAGACAGGAAGAACACACTGAAGAGTTCACATCTGAGAACTTTGTGTTTCTGTGATTGTGAAGCAACGCGACCAGAGTTCAGATGTGGAGCCTTGGATTCACTTTCAAAGCCACGGCAGCGGCAGAGAAAGGCGACAAGGATCAGTTTCTGTGTGCACACCAGGCAACATCACACCACTGACATGATGGGATCTTTGGGTTTGGGTGCAAATGAACCAACGTGAAGACGAACACTCA